TAATAATATATTAATATAATAATAATATACATAATATATTATTATATATAATACTTGATAAGAATGTTTGGGGAGGATGCTGGCCCTGACTCACAGTCTTAAGGTGGAGGCTGGTCATACCAGAGAGACTAACCATGTGGTTTGAGGGTTGGTGCTATGTATTATGTATCAGTCAATCCGGAGGTTGAATTTCTATGTATAAATAATCAATCTATCATGCTTAACTAATCAGACCACAATAAAAGTTCTGTCCATAGAGACTTGGCTCAGCTTGACTGGCTTGTGATATTCTACGGATACTGTCATCCATCAAAACTGAGAATGTAGGAAAGAAATGGAAGCTCACATAGCAATCTGAGGCCCTGTGCCCTCAAACAACACTTCAGCAACTCTAGGACCTAGGTAACATGTTCCAAATCATCAGCACTACAGTCAGTAATAAGACTCAAATGATTTAAAAACAACTACACATAAGTACATCTATAACACAAAATGCTGCTATCTTTTACTATAGTCTTTTACTGCCAGGGCTATCCTGATTAGGGCAGAAGGTTTGAAGCATCTTTTAGTAGAGACAGTGACCTTCAGACCATCTAGATGTGGGATGTCGACAGTGGGAAGAGATATGGAGGAGTCAGCTCACCAATGCGTAAAGTGGCAGGACCATGTGGGAATCACTGGAGATACTGGGATTGGATCAGCTGGCAGGTGGTGACAGGGGGGACAGTGACTCACAGCTGCAACCTGTATGCTGACACAGGCAGGCCTCAGCTGTACCAGGATAGTGCTTCCATCCAACAAAAGCCCTCTGTAGCATTTTGTCCCAAGCTCAGAGAGAGCAGTCACAGATGCCAGTTGTGGATTAAGTACTATTTCCATCCCAATGGGATCACACGTGAAGTTAAAATGCCAAGCCCACCTTTCCTGCATAGGAGCTAAATTATTGCAATGTTCCAAATCATCAGCACTACAGTCAGTAATAAGACTCAAATGATTTAAAAACAACTACACAGAAGTACATCTATAACACAAAATGCTGCTGTCTTTTACTATAATCCTTTACTACCAGGACTATCCTGATTAGGGCAGAATTTGTGAAGCATCATTTAGTAGAGACAGTGACCTTCAGACCATCTAGATGTGGGATGTGGACAATGGGAAGAGATATGGAGGAGTCAGCTCACCAGTGCGTAAAGTGGCAGGACCATGTGGCATCACTGGAGATATTGGGATTGGATCAACTGGCAGGTGGTGACAGGTGGGACAGTGACTCACAGCTGCAACCTGTATGCTGACACAGGCAGGCCTCAGCTGTACCAGGATAGTGCTTCCATCCAGCAAAAGCCCTCTGTAGCATTTTGTCCCAAGCTCAGAGAGAGCAGTCAGAGATGCCAGTTGTGGATTAAGTACTATTTCCATCCCAGTGGGATCACACATGAAGTTAAAATACCAAGCCCACCTTTCCCGCATAGGAGCTAAATTATTGCTGTATCCCCCATGAAATTTCAAAACTCCATGGAAAGAATACAGCTGTAAATGATAGAGTTCTCACCTTGAAGTTATGTTAGATGTATTATAGCACTATGAAGCAATCACGCTCACCCAGCTTCACATCAAAAACACCCCAGAGGACAGAGAGGATTTGTACTCAGCCACACCCTACTTTCTTCTTCAAAGAAAGCATCAGAAGCAGTTTTTAATCCTCTATCAGTTCTGCTATAGCTTTAAGCATCTTTCATGAGCTTTCATTTTAACCATTTAACTTGAAGAGTCAACTTAGTCCAATAGATTGGTATGTTAAAACATTTGAATTAGTTATTTGACTACATTACCAGGTCAAAGGCAACCCAAATCTGTCAAGTTAGAGGAGGGACATGATAGGGGAAATTGGATCCCTGGTGCCCACTGTGTGCAAGGTGCTTTCCTTCATTAAGTTCTCCAAACACCCTTCTGGTGTGCATTATTATCCCTGCTTTATATTATTTTAAATGTAAAACATTTAAAAACATATTTATCTATTTTATATGTATGAGTGTTTTGCCTGCATGCTCACGGAGGCCAGAAGAGGGTATTGGATCCCCTGGCAATCTTATTTCACACTATATGCCTTGTAATATCTACCTATTTTAAAGGCAATTCAGAAGTATGCTATACCATCACAGTATCCCAGGGGAATATTAATCTAGGAATCTAAGTTAGAAATGATGAGGCACAAGCTACACTTTATCTATGATTCATAATGGTTCATGTGTGTGTGTGTGTGTATGTGCATTTTTAAAACATGTCAGTTAATTTTTCCTGATTGCTTAAATGCCTGGTACTCAAATAAATTCGGTTTTCACTGAATATTTATTCTCTTCTTTGATTATAAGATCAATATTTGATTGACTGATTTTCTAACCAATCTTTTTGTAATCAATATATTTTTCCATTTTTTTGTAGGAAAGATTACAAATTATAAACTGCAGTAGTTCACTTCTGTTTAATTTATCTGTTCTAGAGTTGCTACCCAGTTTTGTGTTGCATTATCTTTTGATAATATGACCAGGATTTCACTTTGAGATGGTTTATCTTCTATGGTGTTTATGTTATGTATTGATAATTACGAATCTACTATGGTATGCTAGATATAGCACCAATTAGCCTGTAGTCCTGAACCTCACTCTATTAGCTACTTTTCTGTTGTCTGTGATAAAATGCCGTGACCAAGAGAACTTATAGAAAGAAGAGTTTTTTTGAGCTTATGTTTCTAGGTTCCCGAGGGATTAGAGTCAGTCACGGTGGGGAGGAAGGGTGTTAGGAGGTGACTGGAGCCAAGTCTCACATCAGGAAACAGGGAGAGAGTGGAAATTCGGCAAGGTTTAAGAACTCTCAAAGCCCACTCCCAGTGATGTGCTTCCTCCAACATGGTCATTCCTCCTAAAGCTTCCCAAAATATCACCACTAACTGGGACATGATGTCCAAATACTTGGAGCTTATAGGGGACATTCTCATTCAAACCACCACATTCGTGAAAACCTTTTCTTTCTTTGACTTAGCACACAATGCCTAGTATCTCCATGGTGCCTTTTGACTCCACACAGTTGTCCTCTCCTCAGATGATGGAAAATTCAATCATATACTATTATTTATTGTATGTCTAAGCAACTGCTCCAGGCACCAAAGCCATGAAACTTCTGTTCCAGAGAAGCCCTTTTCTCCAAACATTCTCTTCTTGGGCGTCTTATTTGGGTATGAGGCAATTTATCAGATTATGGTGTGCTACGGTGTGATGTGGACACAGCAACAGAATAAAAAGTGCTTTTAAGTACTTTTGATTTATATAAGTGATATCTCTGCTTTCAACACTTTAAAATGTATTCTTCTAATGTGTAACTAATGAGTTATAGGTTATTAAGGAAATGAAGTTGGGCCTTAGAGAAGTAATGGGGAAATGTGGATGGAGTCCTCGTAAGTAGAGTTAGTGTCTCTATAAGAGGTCCCAGAAAGCTGCTTTGCCTTTCTAACATTTGCAGTCATAACAAGAAGTTACCATCTGTTTATCAAGAAGTGTGCCCTCACCAGACACTGAATCTGCATCTGCTTTGCTCTTGGGTCTCTGAGTCTCTAGAACTGTGGGAAATAAATTTCTT